TTTTCGCTTGCAGTTCTTAATTAGAATAAAAATCATTAAAAGTTATGTATACTTCTACGGACAGCGACAGAAACTTCTCTGGATATTTTTTTCACATTTTAGCATAATTATTATGCATTTTATTTGATAATGTAATTCCTTCAGGGTTCTTATGGTTGTATTTTTAGAGAATGTTTCTAATTTTTTAACTTGAAAGAGAAGGAAAAATTTTTAACTAATTGGGCGTAATTGGGAAAGAAACTAAGGCAGAAAAAAACTGTTATAAATTGTACTTCTTTAATGCTCTGAAGCAAGAAAAGGAAGAAATATTTTTAAAGCTGAAATATGTAAAGAGAAGCGTACTTAGAAAGTGCATTTTTAATACCCAGCGTAATGACGTTGAGAGATATTTTTTTAAACTTATGTTTATTCTTGATTTTCTTCAAGTATTTTATTATCTTGAATGTGAACAATATTTTAACAGTGTTTAAATTATGTGTTTGCAATTTTATTTATTTAACCATTATACGTTTTTCAAATATATTACCTGCGCAAAGTAGCAGAATAAAAAGAAAGAATTTAGCTTAAGGTTAGAGGTAATGAATTTGATACAAATTTCACATAAAATTTTTTCGAATTAATGGAACACTGCAAAGTTAATCAAAATTCTCTATTAAAAATTCACAACATTGTATTTATTTAAAAATTCTGTCAAATGCTTGAGAAGTTTCCACTTTCGAGCATATTATGAAAACAACTTTCGGCTTATACATTTTGTTCTGCTGAAAAAGATTCGAAAATGACAAAATTATCAACTTCTAAATAATTTCACAAGTAATTCATAGCACTTGTCATGTTTTAAAAACATTTAATTATGTATTTAAACATGTATTCGCTGTAATTGTAAACGTTTTAGGGAGATATGATCAATAAAATTTTCCAGAATTATTTTCTCTGGAAGACATGGTTTTCTATCTTTTTGTCTTGAAATTCATTATAAAGTAATAATATTTTAAATATGAATATCAAAATGGTTATACGAAATACTGTACTTTTTGGTAATGATAATTTTATAGAAACCATTAGGCATTTTTTTATTTTGGAGCAGAAAACATGCAAAACCCGCAATGCCTTCGCAAGGATTTGAACTCTGAACTTCTCGATTGCTAGCAGATGTGCTTTCCAGTAGCATATGGTACAGAGGAAGAGAAACCTTACCTTCTCCTCCACTTAAAGGGCAATAGTAGAGGCAGACACCAAATCACCAACCCTGATGATTGACAAATTATCGTCCACTACTTGCTAGTTCGGACGATGCTAATAGAGATTTCAAGAATTTTTCGAAAGCAGAAAACGGAAGAAATCTGCACGGGATTCAAACTCCGGCTTTTCGATTGCTAGCTGGACATACTTCCAATTACAACGCGAAAGCATGTAGTAAGGAGGGAGATAATGCCTTCCAGTTTCCTTACATTTATTTATGCGTAAGTTATTTGTCAAACGTTTGCGCATCATTCTAATACTTTTTTGACACTCTCCATATCTTCATACTACAGCATAGGGAATCCTTTGGCTTCGAAAATAGGGCTTTTAATTTTACCTGCCATATAAAGAGACTCGCCACCCAGACGGTATAGAGCCTACCGCGATACCGAATGGCCCGGTTTCGAATCCCAGAGAAGGCATGGATGTTTGTATATGTATAGTGCCTTTTTGGTATGAAGGTATTCTAAATAAATGAGACGAAAGTCCTCTCATGTGGATTGATGGTAGGGAAGAGTCCCTCGGACCCCTCTCCGGAGTGCTATACCTCAAATTTGGGGTGGAAATAGAAAACCAACCTCCTTGAGGCTCTAGCGACCATTCTTCCAAGAAACTCATGGGCAAGACACAACAACATAAAGAGACTTAAGAGGTTATCAATAAACACACGTAATTCTCCGTTCAAGTAAAAAATATCCGAAGCGAAACATTTAATGAAGTAATTTCTACATAGCTTCATTTACATATTTGATTAAGCAGCTAATAATAATGAAATAAGAATTCTGGGTTTAAAATTAAAATTGCATTAATATTATTTTAGTTTCATCGAAAAGTTAAGTCATATTCCAAAACCATTTCCTTCATCAAGTCACATTTGTATCTGATTTTGAATCTAACTTATATTTCTGGAGATACCAGTTTGTAGAAATTTTGTCTTTTGCTCGTTTTGTCGATGATCCTGGTCCCTTTCTATTAATGACCTTCACACTTTCTTCTCTCTATTCTTTTCTTTACTTTGCGATTCGTTTGTATTTAATGTCTGGTTTATGTCTGAAATTTCACAATGTTAACTTATTTTATGTTTCTGATTCAGATTGGAATCAGTTTGGGGATACCATTAAAATTGACGGACTTGTCCGAAGATAAAAACCGCTTTAAAACTAGGCTTATTAATAAGTTACTAAAAATTGTTACTCATAACTAATATATGCAAGAGATTTTAATTTTCTGAACTGAGTTAGAATTGAATTCAGTGCTTTTTGCTCGTTTGCATGTACGATTATCTTTCAAAAAATGAATTAAAATTTTTTTTGAGCACCGGGAATTGTCAAATATTGGGATTATTTCCCGAATAAAAAAACCTAAAATTTGCTTTCAGGCAGGATCAATCACTTTCTTTCGTTAATTAATTTAGCCTTTGTCATCTCCGTTCATCACCGACTCTTAAATAGCATGTTTGACTCAAATTAAATCCGTAGCTCATCAAAATACAATCTTACACTTTGGATTATCTTTGGATAATCTTACACTTTGGATTATTATTTGCTTCTGCCTTATGTTGGTTGTTTACGAACATAAAAAATTTACGTTTAATAATACGGTAAGGTATTAAATACCGGGTTTATTCCTTTATGTGAGATATAGCAAGGGGTGAATCATCGTTTGACCTTGGAAATATTTATCGAGAGCACACTGCTAACCAATTGGCAATTTATATTAATACAGAAGCTCACATTCTGGTAACATATGGCCAAGCTAAGTCAGATTTGTGTACTTTAAGACGGAGAAAATATTATGAAACCATTTGCTAAATAAAAGGCGACTATTAGAGTTATTTTGAATGACAAAATATCTTTTGAAGAATAGTAAATAACTTTGGCTGATAAAGATCTCTCTTGGGAAATTACGTCTACGATTTTCAGTACCTAAAATAGATAATATATCCTTGAATAGTTTCCTAATATTATGTGTATTAAGTTCTGAATAGAAGGAGACCCTCTAGTTATAGTATAAATTAAAAAACATCAAAACACAAAAATTTAAGCGAAAACTCTCAAATATTTAAGTTTGCGTTTTTTCCATAGTATATTGATATCAAGATAGATATCTGATGATAGATATCTAATATCTGATATCTGTATATTTATATGTGTTATATTTGAATTCTAAATTTTTATATCTGTAAGACATTTCTTTTTACAATACTTTGTAAATCAAACGTATTGACAGACAAATATTGAATTTTTGACAATATATGACAAATATTGAATTTGTCATTTGTTTCAAGAAATTGTAAAATATTTAACTAACCACAGTAAAACTTACTTAAATTATATAAATTATAAATACTTTCCAATGTTTCTGATAAAATTTGAGAATAAATAAAAACATCTAATTTTTTGATGACCCAAAAATGCATTTGCGTGTAAATAAATAACTCTGAATTTTAATTCTTGCCACAAATTGACACTTGATTGCGTTTCAATTCTGATAAAGTGGATAAAATTTTTATTAAAAAGTATTAGGAACTATCTTTGTCAAGCATCTTAATTGCTCATCAGCCAGTCTAGTTTTCTTAGATCTATTATTTTTTAAGTTTGAAGCTAAAAAAGTATAAAGTTCAGGTATAAAGTTTCCTAGCAAAACTTCCATTCTTATTTTCTTAACTGAAGGTATTTATCTTTTGACGAGTAAGAATGAAAGTTAATCAAATCTGTGTATTCAAATCATTGACTAAGATATATATATTACATTTAAACAATTAGCTCATCCAATTTCTTTTCCTTTCAATAGCAGCAAAGTCCAATCAATGCTACTGTGCCTCCAAAATTATAAGCATATTATTTACAACTAATCCATAACGTAAAATATGCTCGTGGGCATCTAAAACACTGCTTCGAGAGCTTCCAATTTGAAACCACTGCTGAAAATAAATCAACTCTGTTCCCTCATTAAGTTATTAAAAGCTTTCATTTTCTATTCCAAATATATTAATTCACTTACATAAACTTTTTAGCCTCACATAAAACGTAACGTCATTACTCAGTAAGCAGCCAAATCTGAGATTGATATAAAGTATTTTCAAATAATATTATATTATTATCATGAAGCACCTTTTAAACAGTAAAGGCTAAACTTTTAATGATTACTTATTCATACAAAAATATCTTCTGTGAATGACCTACTGCATGACATCAACGTCTCAAATGTTACTCTAAGGTAACTCTTGCTCACCAATGGGCAAGTAATAAAATCCTTGAAAACTGGTAGTTCGGTCTGAGGTTCGAATCCCGCAAACAGGGCATTTTCATGGTTTTCCGCATGTGCAACGTGTTAATACGAGCCAGTTTCCCTTAGAAAGTCCTCCATGAAGGCATTCCTCCCTTCCGTGTAGAGCCTCAGGACGGAAAACGTAAATAATAATAGTAAAGGAACTTTTGGAGATTTGGCTAACAAGAAGAAATAAAACGCTGTTTGTTTTCCACAAATTTGTTTAGTATTACTGATGTGTTACTTTTTAATGAAACACATTTTTATGCTGAAGCAAATAATTTATATAAGCTTCTGGTTAAAATTTACGTTATTAATCAAAGTTTGTAACAGGAAATTAGGTAATAACCATTTTAATTTCAGCTACTAAGAAATTTATTATTATTATACATAATTTTCCAATTTTCTCCAGTGACTGTAAGCTTTAATGACAGTTATCTAGAACAGTCATAACGACGGTGAATACAGCAACTTTCTTATCTTTTCAGAAGGAAGACTTCTTCCAGTAAACCAAAGACAGCGAGTTTATCCAAATGGCACTTTGCAGATTATGGACGTTCAACCTGGGATAGACAATGGCCACTACAGCTGCGAGGTCACATCCGGTCAAGGAATGCAGCCTGCATCTCGAACATTCCGCATCGTCATTCGAGGTTCGTATGAGGCCACCTGTTCTTTACGAGAAGTAGCGGTGCTTTATATTGATTCTTCTTTTATACAAAGCGTCTTGCTTCAATGCCTTGCGATGTTCTGTTTATTGCAACTGGGCAATATAAACCTAGCCGTTACTGTATTAGGGGATCGTATATTGGTTTCGAAAAAAGAAACAGAGTAATAGTTTTTAAGATAAAAAGTTAAAGATCTTCTCTTTTTGAATCTTTTTTTAAGATCAAAAGTTAAACATCTTTATCTTTTTTGTAGTATTTATAAAAATACTACAAAAATAACTTTAATGTAAAAAACTTTAAAAGATAAAAGATGTGTTTCAGGCTGCTTTTTGAGGTTAGTATAGTGAGATGAATACTATAACTTGCATTAGAATTCATAGTCAGTGAAAGTGAACATAACATTTAATATTATTGTACGAAAAATATTTTATTTAACAATAGTATAAATGAATGTCAACTGTTTAGCAAATCTAACATTAGCGGTCTATTCGCAAGTAGCATAAATAGCGCACTAGATTTTTAACCTGCTGTGCACATATTTAAATAGCTATAGAATTTAAATAGCTATAGAGTCTCGTTCTCTTTGGGAATATTAACTAACGAGCTCTGAAAGACTGTGTGAGGAGTTAAGTACAACAGAAAAGTCAGAAAAAGGGGGCAAATAAACCTTTATTTATATATCAATATAATTTATTAGATGGCCTCACTTGGGCTTGCACAGAGCTAACACTTCAGGCTTAACTCAAAACAGGTAACGATGAACTTAAAATAAAATATAGTAAATTTAGCCTAATTGTTCATAGGTAATTTAATACGCAGGAAGGCTCTGACTCGTAGAAGTCGGCGGAAACAAGCTCGATGGCTAGAAGCACTCAATGCTACAGCAATCTAATCGCTACTAATTCAAAATAGCAACGTGGCCTTCAAGCAGGCATAACGCGCTCTAAAAATCATGCTCGAAAACCTTCCTTTAAATAATATTTCTTTCTACCTCATTTAAATACACGCACGCTAGCTCATTGACATCCTCGCAAGAAAGCGTGGGTGAAAAACAAGACTGAAATAAAAGTTGCTTTAACTAAAAATTAAGTGTTAGTTAAATTAAATAAATCTTCACATATCTGTGAAGTTCATTTTATTTGATAAAATTTTAGTGTTGGTGAAATTTATACAAGGCCTTCATTATATACTGATATGAACTGTAATGCTGTTAACTTATCATGATTCTTAAGCTCTTGTCAATAGACTTCGACAGCTTTAATGTTACATTTCTTGGGATTTTGCTAATTTCATTTTCTTACGTACTATTACTAATTCATTGTTACGTACTTTTGCAAATATTTTGATATATGATGGATTTTTATTAGTCCATACTGGCTTTGTCCCTAAAGGACTACTGTTTTACGCGATTTTGCTGGACTACGCGATTTTGCGTTGAATCACTATAAATATCCTTTTCATTTTTCAAATTGTTGCCACCAAATGTTAGAGTCTTGCATTGTATTTGAAGAAATTAAAGAATGAAAAATATGCATAAATGTATGTTTATTTCTCGCATTGTGATAAAGCATTGGTACATAGAGCCCTCGAATTTTTAATGACGAAATCCTCCTACGAATATGGGCATGTGGAAGACCAAATTTGAAATATGGAATTTGTTTATTACCGATTTCATATTCTGTAAAATTTTAACGAATGTTTGATTAACAAACTCAACGATTTAAAAAGCGAGCAAAGGCAACACTCTACGGTGGGGATAAAGAACCTTTTTATCTCCAGCGGCCGCGAAACTGTGTATCGAAAATTCTAAAGATATGCTCATTTTAAAATTATTTTGCGACATTTCTACTGAACTGAATTCTAAGTGCAAAGAACATGATATTTAATAAATAAAGGTAATACCCAAAACGTTATGCTCCTTTGGATGTTATTTAAAATCTGAAACCTTTCAGATTTTTTTTTAAATTTATAATTATCTTCATTCTTTAAAAGGAGAAATAATTCCAGAATGCTCAGGGCTTCGCGCCAAGGAACTTTGATTTCGCCTCAGTTATATTTCAAACTGACGAGTGTACAAAGAAGTTACAACAAAGAGCAAATATTTATTTATTGAAAATTATTGCAAAGTTATTATTAAGTTTTTAAAGTGTAAGTTTTTAAAATAGCAATACAGCAAACAAATAGATAATTTAAAACATTAGAATATTTGTTCAAAGTACAGACAAACAAAAATGCTAATTTAACTATTTCATTTATGCATCAAATGCAATTAAAAATGAATGTTGTCCTTATACTACTAAATTTTCTTAAAACTGCATCTTTTATGAATATTTCCTAAATATTTAATTTTATATTTCTGAATGGGTCAGATCTGAATTTCTGAAGATTACGAAATCTCTGTCTTTAAAAGATAAAGTCGAATATTTTTTATATCCAGTTTACAAATGCTGCACAGTTTGGTATTTTTATATGAATCACAAACTACTACATCTGTACCTAACGGAAAAGTACTTGCTTAGAAATTTAAGAAAATACGATGATATTTTTCTCAATGTTGCAGTTGCGCACACATATATAAACTTTCAATTTAATTTTAATAAATAATCATTCAATAATGCTGCTTTGGGAAAGATATATTTTGTCAATCATTTTTTACCACGTGAAATATCAAGCCACATTTGTAGATACTGTAATTTACAAAATGCGTAATAAAATATTCGAACAATAACAGAAACAATAAACTATAACAACTAGGGAACTCCATGCAAGCCTAAAGTATATTTATATTTATAACGAAACTGTATGCAAGCTTAAAGCAACTATGTTAAATTAGTGTTAATATATTGTAATTATAAAAGTTGTCTGCTGAACTAAATTTGTTGTCTTCAAAAGGTAGCTAACGGGTTTACGAAATTATATGAAATTTTCAAAACTGATTTAAAATAAAGCCTTTTTTTTAACTATATTGGCGGGCATTTGCTTATTTGATAATGGCCATTCTTAAGTGGTCATTCTGACCTAAGGCCAGAAGCGGTGGCCATTTTATTGTGGAGGCACCTAAGAGGCGGTTACCGTTGCTTCGTATGAAGGGAGGGACAGTTAATACTATATTATACTATATCTCCGGGTTTCCAACCTAGGTCCTTTGGTATTGCAGTCGGCTCCCCTAACCTGTCTGGGTGGCTAAGGTAAAGCATATTTTTATTAACAAATGCAAACGCATGCGAGAATTACTCTGTGTACAATTATGGATATATTTTAAGCATAATCTTTAAAGTCCACATGCGTATAAAAGTTTCTTATCTATATCTGTTTAACTTATATTCACGAGAGTTGAGCATCTCAAATTTAGTACTGCAATTTAATTTTATTTTTAAATATTGTAATTATAAAATATTGTAAATATAAGTTAGATTTTATTTTTAAATTCAAAACTGCATTTACGGCACCAGCCTGTCAGTTAAATGATCTAGTACATAACTCCTATGGTTGTTAATTTATCACTTCCACAGATTATTGCATCTTTCGCTATTAATGTAATCTTTAGCAGTAGCTCTCAATTAATAAAGTAGTAATATGCAAAAGAATATATATAAATAAATATCTTACATGGTACGTTGTAATATTTTTACAGTGATTTAATCAATGTTTCCATTTTCATTTCAATTTGATCTTTAAAAAATTTATAATATTTTGATTTTACTCCTTTTCTATGTAAACCCAATGACTTAAATTCATTCAAAGTTCAATTTTTCGATTCAGTTAAATTTATTTTATTATTATCCATGATTTTTTCCCATTTTTTCAGTTTTATAATACTTGTAATTTAGCCTTTTGCTAGGTGGTACTATATATCACTTGTTTCAGGAGCGTTGTGCTCACTTCAGAACTTGCAGTAATAAGAGATAGTGATTGCAATTCCTTTTCATTTATGTGATAATAGCTTCTTTTCTACTAGTTCTGTATTCTTTTCGAGTTTTTCTTTAATTCTAAATTAAATTTTAATTGATTATTTTGTATTGTAATGTATATGTGTTTTTCAATGTATTATTTTTCATTGTTGATGTCATTAATATAACTTATACTATTAAATCTCGGAAAAAAAAAATCCTATTACTTTATTTCATTGCAACAATTTATATATATATATATATATTAATATATTATATTTATATAATATATATACTTAATATATATATATTTTACAGTAATATATATATATATATATATATTACTGTAAAGGATATGATTCCAGTAATCAAAATAATTTTAAAAAGTAACCATATCAATAGACAAAATTTTAAAAAAATGCAGGGTAAAAATGCGAAAACAGTGTGTGCCGTAAGTTATAAAAAAATTAGAAATTTGTTAAAAGAAAATTTTTAAGAAAATATATGTAAGAAAAGCAAAGCTTTTTGCTTGTCCCCGCCTCTCTCTCTCTCTCTATATATATATATATATTTAATTTGAAACATTTCCTGATAAGAAAACGGCTGCTTTTTCTCAGAGAATACCTGGCTTATAACAGCACGAGAACACAAGTCGAGAAATTTTTATTTTAAGTAGAATATATTTGAATTACTTTCTCCAAATAATATTTTTAAATTTTTATTTGATATTCTATTTCTTGTTCTCAATTTCAATTTCAGATTCATCTCTTCTTATCTCTGGCTATGACTGTTAAAATCGGTATTTCAGAATTTGTGAAGTCATTGTTTATTTCGAATATTAGTTCGTTCATGTTCAGATATGAATCTTATCGTCGAGAATAATGGCACAAATTTTCCTTCCTCCTCTCTCTTATATTAAATCTGATATACATATATATATATATAACACATAGAACGAGTTATAATAAAACTTCTGCTGCTTACACTAAATTCTGCATTTTTGTTTGAATATATGTTGAACTTACTCATGGCTTTATCTGTTTTCTATTACTGTAAATTTCTAAATCAATATAGACAATTTTAAATACTTTGTTG